AGCTGGTTTTTTTATGTGAAAAGTTGCCAAGCGAGCAGACGGTTCCCTGATGTTAAGTAAATACCACCGCCCATGGACATCTGCTACACCCGAGAGTTCCAGATGCGTTGACAACCTTTTGAAAATTGGGCTCCGGCCACCTCACTCACCAGACGAAATACGAAAGTATTATAATTTTTACGAGGTCGTGCTACTTACCCGGACGAGCCTGCCCATTCGTGCAACAGCCGAGGCTGCTGCGTGGCCCTACCACCGTGGTGCGAGGTCCTACTTCAGTAATTATGTATATTAAGGCGCTGCATGCAGTGATTTTTTTGCGATTTGGGTGGTGAATCAAGGGAAGCGGAGGACGGTTAACCCCGCTTAGCGGGGCGTACCGCGCGAGTTTCGTCGACACGCCGCGTGACTTTCATTCATTACCTACTAGTGGTGAGCCGTAGAAAACTATCGATAGTATTGTGGGAGGCTTTCAAAAATGTATACAGATGATCCCTGATCTTTTATAGAACATGATTTAAGATGACTCCGAGGTGCAGTCGCCAAGGTATTGGCTTCGTCGTCGGGTTCGTGGGTTCGAAAACTATTTGTGTGACCTAGGTGTTTGTCCGCGTGAAAATTATGTTTGTAAAAACTTCCTTACGACACAGAATAATATTTTTAGCAATAGCTGCAAAATTTTAGTAGTATTTTGAAACTCGTTTCGCAAATTAATTGAAAAGCTTCACCAAATTTACATAATTAAGTAATTCACCACCTTCATTCATATGTAGATTTGGTTAATTCATCGCCTCGAATGTTTGATGTGGCAATAAGTCGTTATTGCGAATAGAACCGGTATAGGGTAGATTTAGGTTACTACAGCCTCGTGTGTATTAATTTCCAAATACTGTTCACCAAACACGAAAAGTTATATACGTCCTTCGCTACAGTTAAATTACATCTTGCTAATAAAATTGCTTGTAATTGTACAATATTCGAATTCGATAATTTCGAAATTTAATAAATACCATATGGTGGCATGTCACTAAGTTGTGAGTTTCATTTATTTTATTTTAATAGTTAAGGCTAATATTCATCAGTGGACTAAAACAGGCTGAAATGATTATGATGGCGGTACATTTATATGCTAGAAGACGAATATATTGTAGAGAAGGATATAGTACCGCGAAATATATGCAGTAGTTATTACATATATTTTTATTCTGTAAAATTAAATAAAAACTTTAAGGTTACGCACCGTAAAAATAACGGAAAAATCGTTTGAGTTTTAAACGTAAAACAACTCAGCCAGTCCTTTGATTAAAGATATCGTAATTTGTTCGAAGGTCGGAAATTCTTTAAACCAACGCCTAAGATATTCTTATGTCCCTTTAAGGAATATAAAAATGTCTCATATTAACTTCTGTTCTGTTTTTCAATTACGGGTTGATTTTCGTAAAGACTGCTGAAGTTTTTTCATTTGTTCCGCAGTGTCATTTACTACAATCATCATATCCACATTATTAGTCCAAAATGTTTCTTTATTCGGTACGCCATATCCTGGCCATATCCCGTTTAACTTTCTACAAATTTAGAAAGTTCTGCCACGAAATAAAAATTACTGTTGTCGTTAAAGAAACTTCCTTGTGAAGATTTTTCATGTGCCATTTATTGAATACCTAGCGATATTAATGCCTTTCTTGATCATTATATTATATCTGATAACACTGCATTTAATAACTTTGATAGCACATGAGTTTTAAAAAAATTTAGACCTAAAAACCTACCTTTTATATTTAAAATAAGTACTATTTAAATATTTATTAATTAAACACATTATACACAACGATATTGAGTGTATTTATTGAAACAAATTTAATAGAATTCTTCAAAATAAAATACTTTTTATTGCTTTTACTTCACCATTATTCAAAAACTAATTGCGATATTGTGCAAATAATTTTTTAAACATCCGTAAACAAAACTTTCAAATCTTAAACACTTCTAAATATAATTATCAACAAACTTTACATTAAATATTAGTATTTTTTCTTTTATTCATTCACAATTAATTACAATAAACTTTACATCGTTTTTAATCAAAAAACCAATCACTAAATAATTTCAATTTTAAAATGGAGATTTTGTATGTTACCTACAGTCACCGCCTTTCTTAAAATCCTCGCTAAACTCATAAAATTCAACGATTTAAACTTCAGTCTTCGAGACCACTCTGGCTTTTACCGTTTAAAATTAACCAATTCTCTACTTTGATTTCTTGGAAGTACAAAGCTTAAGTACTTTCAAATAAATTTTCTCGGTTTAATTTTTTGTAACAGCCACGACACTAATCACCGTAGTGTATTCATTCGCATCATTTACATATGTATTGGATGCTGATGCCGAGTTAACGGTCGATGTAACGCATGTGTAATGTAATATGTACTACAATGTAATATACATTCCGGTTTATGTATTTGCACGAACTGCAGGCTTACATAATGGCTGGTCAATAATATTTGAGTACAAGTGTTATGTAATTGCACCGTTATTTTATTGATCGATTTGTATTAATTGATATGATTTCAGTTAATGTATATTGGAAGGTTTCGTGATTAAATCTTTTTAATATACCAAAATAAATGTTATAGTTGACAGAAGACATATTTTTATCGAATTTTATATTGTAAATGTTAATTTAATAACATTGGGTAATTGCATTTAATTCGTTTATGTAGGAAGGTGGCTGGGAATCGATGATTTGAGCATATGAACTTTTTTAAAAGTGGATCCTAGTTAGCTACACGTCAGACGAAACGCGAAATTATAATACTTACATTTCACGCCGGTCTTCCATTTGGCTGTGGTACTCGGAAGAGCCTGCCTATTGGTTCAAGGGCAAGTTTGCGTGTCTCACAATCAAAGTATCAAGTTCTTTAGTTGTAAACTCAAACTATTATAGGGCCAAGCAGTAGATTCTTCTGTTAATTGTTTTAATTTGTATTATTGTCACGATAAATAAATAAAAAAATTTTTAGGATACATTTTTACACAACGTTCTCTCGTCCCAAACTAAGCTAAATATAAAAACCCAGACACATGTTTTATATATAAAATCCCAGACACTGGTAAAACACTATGTTCATCACACACCATTTTAAAGTAGTGGGGATAGAAGCCACACCCTCTGGCGCAAGAGACAGGTACACAGGTTCTACCCACTACGCCAATGGGCTCAAAGTATTATTTTCATGATGTTTAATTGTACTGGCTGTGCTTATCTTTAGCTTATTGTTACACTGACACATTTTACCTATTGTTTCATTTTTGCTGGTACGATATAGTGTGAATAATTGTTGATAGGCCTTATAAGAAATATATAAATAAACTAGTGGACCTGACAAACGTTGCCCTGTAGGTACACACGACTTAAATTCGACAACATAGAAATAATAAAAAAAATGTAGTGGACCGAATTGTGAATCTAAATCATTCTCGGATCGTCCTGAAGACACACAAAAAATTTCATTAAAATCGGTTCAGCCGTTTGGGAGAGTTTAGTTAAGTGACGTACGCACATACACAAGAATTAATTATATATATATAAAGACTTGGAAAAATAATAATTATATTATTTATACTATGTTGCCTTTGCTATTGTTTAGTTTAATAGCAAAGGTGATATCTCTAGTTTTTAAATATTCATTGTTAATAATTATGTAGTTTCAGATAGTGAGTTCACTATTTAAGCATAACAAAGTAGATAGGGTGTCGATGGTTTTTTGAGTAAAATGAGTGATTGAATTTTTGCCCTCTTATGATTCATCATTGTTATTGTTTTTCCTCAGAAGCCAATCCAGCAATAAAAAAGTGTTTGTAAATTCCTTGTGTCAAAAATATTTATATTTGCATGTATCTATTCTAAAGTCCGAAGTTTAAAATAATAAAAGGTTGACCATGAGATATTTCTGTGTTGCTCAACATATATTTTTTTTAAAAAGTATGAAAAAATCGCAGTGAGAAATAATTATAGGCCACAAATAAAAGTTGTTTATTTGATTTATTACATTACAATTTAACTTCATACTAACATAGATTAAACGGTTAACAATGGTAAAATAAGAATAAAATAAGAGTTTATAATATTAACATTAACAAATATTTAAAACTGTATTTAGGTAAACCAATGGATTTCTTATACAGCATCCATCTTATTTTAAAAGCTACATAGTGTATTTACAATCAAATCTTAAAAAAATAAATATCATTCCAATTTCTTACACTACTCTTAACTTCACTTTTACTCGTATATAATTACATGTTTATTTCTATTCGCAGAAAGCTTTAATATATGGAACAAAAAAAATTAAATTACATTTAACCTTTCTGAATTATGCTGTAAATTTCGTAACTGTATTTTAAGTTTTATTTGAGGGAGATAAAAATTCACTCAGGAAATGTAGAAAGCACGGCATTGCTTCATTTAATTTGTTTACGGCATTACTTTTTTGGATCAATGTTAATTGTAATTCTGTTGTATTAAATCTGTGAAAAGTTAAGGCTTTGGCGATTGCTTTCAAGTAAAATCCCTGTAATTTTCAATGCATGTTTTACTCGAAAACCAACAACCATTAATATCGATGTTAGGGATGGGGGATACATGTTGTTTTTAAGACAATATTGTTACTTTTGGTATGGTATAACATAAAACATTTACAAAAAAATCGGTGGTCACACGGATCGACAGGCGGACAAGAGAGTAAAAAAGGAACCCTTATAAGGTTCCTTTTTTACCTATGAGGTACGGAACCCTAAAACACTGCATTGCATTTTTAATAAATGATTTTTTTTTCAAACATACATTGAATTGTAATTCTAAGAGGGTAAGCCCATTCATCAAAAATCTGGAAGCAAATACATCCATCGGAGCCTTCCCCGAAATTTCACAGTAATAAATCGTTTTAAAAACATGTTTCTTTCTTTCACTTTCAACCGACCTCCGGCCTCCTAGGGGCCTCCTAGACTCCGTTGTACCGCCTAGTATCCCGCAAGTCCCTCAGCCTATTTCCGTAGAGGCTCGTCTCGGTTCCGTAGCAGCTGCTTCTACGCGGCCGTTGCTCCAAGCGGCGCCGACGCTCGTGGCTCTGCGAACGCACGCGCACTAAGTGTGCTCCCTCCGAGTTGTGGTTAATCGTCGTCTCGTAGATGCTGGAGTGCTCCCGGCCATACCTACTTGCGTTCCTCTTCACAGTTCTACAGCAGAGCGTCTCGCGGAACGCCGCTTTGTACCTAGAGAGTTGAATTGATGTCTTAGTAGTCAGTGTTCCACAATTCTGGTATTTTTTAATATTTTTATTCCATAGGCTTATAACATATTGGTATAGCAAAAATTAAATTACTTAGTAGAATTAATAAGCATCGTATGATTTAGAACTTGATGCTTTTGTTTATTGCAAAGTGAGATAAATGATCACTTCTTTGTCATTTAAAAACCTGTGTTCCTAATTGAGAATTAGCTTAAGGAACTTAAATAGACTTGACTAAATTTTACCTGGAGTGCTGAGGTATATTATATGAGTCCGAGAATACAATATTTACTTAGTATATAATAAAGTACTATATTAGTATGAACAAATACTTTTACCGAAATCAAGAAAATAAACACACCGGAAATAAAAGCGATGAAACTACACTCACCGTCGACTCATGCTGTTATAGAGTATCGGGTTGACGGTGGCAGAGATGTAGTAGAAAACGCCAGCGACGTTGAAGAGGTTCTCATTAATGGTGTGGTAGTATTTGGAGCTGGTGCCATAGATGAAGAACAGACGCTGAAAATGGAACGGAGCCCAGCACACGTAGAACGCAATGACCACCGCCGCTAAGGGAAGAAGAATAAATAAGTCTAACTTTTTAAGAAGCAAAACTTTCATCGTCATCATCATCATCTCAGCCTGTTTGAGTCCAATGCTGAACGTAGGCCTCCCCCACAGACTGCAACAAAGCATGATCCTGAGCCTCATACATCCATCCATGGCAAAATTCTTATTTATGTTAACTACAAACATTTGAGGAAGTCCTTGACGTTTTGATCCATAATTTTTAACTGAGTGCTACAAAGTTTTCATATTTGAGAAAAAAAGTAAATATAATTAACACCTTCATTAATTCTTTATAGAATTGGACATTTTATTTAAAAAAAAATCTCAATCGGGATGAAAGCTAAAATTAAAAAAAATTAACCTAGTTTGTTGAGTGATTGATTATTAAACGCCAATCTTCCAGATTCGCAGAAATGGAGAGAAATAAAAAAATGAACTGAAAGTTGCGAATTTTGTAATACTAAATAAGTTGGGTGTTATCGTACCAAGCATTCTGATAATGTTCTTCCTAGATTGCGCCTGTCGCGCCTCCCCGTGAACGCTGCCATTCACGCCATTAAGCGTTCCGGGGCTTCCGGGTCCTTGAGGTTGTGTTGATCTGAAATCACTTGGCAATCAGCACATAGTTCAGTTAAAGTTTTTAGTTACTGACTCGGTCTGAGAATTAGCTGGCAGTATAATCACATTCGGACAAGTCTCTCCTTCAAACCGCTTAAAATATACACTTATAATTTCTCCTCCATAAACTAGTGTGGATTAATACGTAACAAACGTAGAGGTGAATTATTCATCACAATGTTCTCATTTCAGGATTGAGGATATTGTTACGGTGTAGATCAGTACTCAAAACTATAATTCACAGTAAGAAAAAGAAATATCATACACACCCCATAACGTATCGAATGCGCAATCCCATTCGCACGTAGAGACACAGGATAATGATGCCGGGCAATATGAAGAAGAAGAGACTGCTCAGCTCGCAGATGTACCAAGTGGGAAGTTCCAGCATAGCGCAGAATGCTGATTCCAAAGACGCATTTCCCGATGCTATATATTGATGGAAAATAAATTATACATGTAGAAGTTACAAGTTACGGCTGCGTTTTTATATATCTGACGTATACGATATTTTTTAACCGATACCATCTGATCCAAAAGCTCTTAAAACCAAAGTTATAACATTATTAGAAATGCATAAACGATGCCTTATTCATATCACTCTTTTTAGATATTTCAAATATTTCGTTCGGTATACGATTAATTTAGGTTTAAAATATTCTTAAAAATCGCAGAGCTTAAAAAATGTTGTCATTTGAATTTTCCAGAGCTATAGAATCCCGGAAAAATAAGAGATATCTCTGACCTAAAAGAAATTCGGTGCATTGTTTAAAATATTCATCACAATGAATGTCTCCAGCAGGAGCTTTTAACACTCAAATATGCAATTTTTTTTAATAACATCTACGTCGGAAATTATAAAATCAAAATTAAAATGCGATAAAACCGTACACTAGTTTCATTTAATATGTATAATATTCGTGTAAAATCCAGAAGTCAATATGAACATTAAAATTAAAATGATTGTATAAAAATAGCAACCCATTTAATTATTCTTTAATAAAACCATATTCACGGACCTAATCACGTTTTTTTAAATTATTTATGCACCAGCATGAATGGTTTTTAAACATAAGCGACAGTTACAGGAATTTCATGACCTAACTTTTAAAATTAAATGCCATCATATCTATGTATTATTTCACTCAACAAAATACACCTGTCAAGTTATTCACACGTGTGATAAATCGATGCAGTTTACTTTAACCATTTACGGCACCAATTCCAATGAAAATTCCAAAAGCCCGATTAAACTCTTGTTAACGCTTTTCGTATATGAAAAAATTATGAACTGAGAGGAGTAAAGAACTTACCAGGGGGGTATTCGTGATAATTCACCGTAGTGTAATGGGCGAAGGGAGCCGCAGCAAGAAGGGAGAGAGCCCATAGGGTCGCGACGATTCGTAGCGCGCGGCGTAGACCAGCTACGGCGTAGATGTGCAGCGGGTGGCATATTGCCAAGTAGCGTTCCAAGGTGAACGCGACGATCGTCAGCACCGAAACGTATGATGCTCTGGTGTGAATAAATAAACATTGTAATGGACACCAAAATTGATGCGTCTAGACTGGAGATTACCAGTAACTGACTGGATCTTTCTCACCGGATAGTAAACTATCTGCAGTAATAATCCTATAGCTGAAATAATTCATCAATTAACAATTAACATCACATAACTAATAAATATAGCCTTGTCAAAAAGTTGTTTTCTATTGTAATTTTAATGAAATATAATCTAAATTATATTCTTTTGTAAATAAATGATCAAAAACTTTCGCCGTTATGGGATAAGAACCTACCTCTTCTGGTTCCGAGTCCAGACGCTCTACCAACTATGCTAAGCGGCCGATGACCTCACAGCGCGAAAATCTTGACATTATCTACGTTCGTTCTATAGCATTTTTAGCAAAGCTTGTCGCATCCTGTGTGCATTATTACAGCATACAACACCTTACAAATAACATTCAACGACGAATATTTGTAACGAGAGATATCCCCATTGCTCTTCATTTTTATAAGATTGATTTTTATTTTTAGTGCTCTTTTAGTGCTAGTCTCTCTACTGTGGTGAATGAGACCGCACGCTTTATTGAAAGGTGGCAACGCATTTATAACCGTTCGCGTGTTACAAATATCCATGGGCGGTGGTAATCACTTAACATCAGGTGGACCGCCAGCTCGGTTGCCACCGTTTCCCAAAAAAAGCCGCCAACTCGTTTGACATCTTCTTACAAACAAAAAGAGTTTTCAAACACACTAAAAATTTTTTCAACTACGATATTGCAATACAGAAGATTATTGACAAAGGAGTAACGGCACTTACGCTTCAGATATCAGAGCTCTAAATTTGCAGAAGACGACGCCAAAGCTGTAGGGATACTGGTGCCAGTATACCCATAAGTCATTGGGAAGGCCTGTTGACAAAAGATAAAAGATTACTCAATATTTTATTCTTAATTCATGGATATTCGCTCGAAACTTGTGACTAGTGTTCTTATCCATCGATAAGAAATGCTTTTTGGCTTCCGTATAATGTTTACATTTAAGCACATGCAAGTGTAATTATGCAAATATATTGTACGTGATAACATTGTGTGGGAATTCGTAAACGTTATAACTTTATTGTACTTTAGGATACAAACCTAAAGTTCCATGCAAAGAGGCATAACACTATTGTAACATGATATTTCTAAAAAAGAGCAACTGTTGAGTTTCTTCCCGGTCTCCTCTCGACATGAACTGCTTTCCGAACCGATGGTAACTTACTTACGAACTATCTATCAATTTTCATGTAAAACTTGACGTTTCATAAGAACGCGCAAGCGTCTATTTCAATAAAGATGTTTTGAGTTTGAGTTTATATTTGATATTTAATTACAGTTAAAACCCACATGTTACATTGTCCGTCACAGACATGATGAAACTGCGATACTACCGCGCCCTCCCACCGACGATAAAACGCGATAGAGTTAAATGAGGCCGCCATTAAAGGAGTTATAGCTTTGTGTCACTGAAAGTAATCATCCATATTGCTTTTAAAGACGCATTATGAGTCTCGTTTATACGGACGTCATGTTCAGATGTGTATCGATAATGCTCTACAACGACAATCGCTATCGGCAATGTATAAAATAATTGAGTCAGCTACTGAGTTTTCTTTATTGTCTGTTTGTTTTATATCTGTTAAAAGTAAACTTTCGCTGCTGGACAATGGCCTCCTCTGTACAAAGGGCATTAGGGCATAATCCACCATCGATCCCAATGAGGATTGGCATACTTCATCTTCGAAATATTTTTTGGCATTATTTCGAAAATATGCAAGTTGCCTCACGATGTTTACCTTTACCGCTGAGCTCGTAATGATTCAGCACTATTAAAGTTGACAATTCCATTGGTGCTGGCACCGGAGTTCGAACTCTGGTTGCTCGAGTATATTGATTTAGAAGCGTGCGCCTGAACAGTAAGCTATCAAGATGCGTAAAAGCCTGCCTATTTATATACCCAGTAACCACGATGTCGAAAACATTTAGTTTTTTTTCAGTAAAAACTTTTTTATCCTATTTAGAGTTTTTCAAACAAGCTTATGATCTTCCGATATCCCACAGCTTCACTGACTTGAACAAGTTCATAGTAACTTGCATATCTGATTTTCTAGGTTAGCTGGAATAATATTCTCTTTTAGGATAAAGTTTGCCTTAGAAAATTTTGATTAATTTTCTATACGTTTGCATAATGCTGCGTGTACGATAAACAATAATAATGATTTTGCAAGAAACTTGATCAAAGATACGTTACATATTCTTTGTTATTTAAGAAAATACGCTACATTACAATATAATAATATGGGCAAAGTAAAAAAGCGAAATAGTCATACCTTGTATTCTCCATGTTTTATTCAACAGAATCATTAGCCTGTTTGATGTACGAAAGTTATTATCATTTCAATATTTTGTAATGTTATAGTCTAATAATTATTTTCATAATATGTATTTTAACCTTCGTATTTTATTATTTTTTTTATTGTATTTATACTTTTATTTATGTTTATCTTTGTTTAGTCTAAGGTTAATTATGGCAAGGCTCTTCTTCTTCATTCTTCTGGTGCTACACCGGGAATTGCTTATAAGGGAAGTACCACGACCTCACAGGAGACCGGCCTGAGGTGGAAGTATTATACTTTTGTGTTCCGTTTGGCGAGTGAGGTAACCGGGGCCCACTTTTTAAAGCTCGATAACGCATCTTAAACTCACAGTTGTACATATCTGGTGAACTGCCCGTTCGTTTGCCAACTTTCACACGAAATAATCTGAAGCGTTATTATTTATAGTGTGTAACTTTTTTAAGTCAGTTTCTTATGGCATTATTAACTTATTTCCATAGTCAGTTATTTTTTGCAATAACATATATATCGAACGAATTTATGTATATCAAATGTTCACCAAAATAATGTGTGGTGAGATTAATGGTAACATTAATAATTTAAACGTGGGGTAAAATTTATAACGGCAATTATTATCAACATATTGCCACGTTTATCATCAACCCAGTTTGGCACGTCCCACAAGGAGACGTTATATTGATTAATTACCTTACATATTTATTAATGACTAGCTGATAACCGCGACTTCGTCTGCGTTTTAGATTACTACGTATTATACAGCAACACCGATTGTTTCACTTCTCCACGGAAAAATCACACATCGCTGAACACGTAGTGCTCATAAAAATCGTTGTCTCTTACTAATGGTTCTACATTAAATGAAAACAACAAAATATTCTTTTGAGTAGCAGTCAAGTTTATAAGAAATAAAAACTTTTATTTTATGTGGTTCTAAAAACCTAAATAAATTTACATTAAATGAGATAGCACAATATTTTTTTAAATCTCGTATGAGCGTGTCTATAAAATAAACTAGTTAAAAACTAACGCTAGGTTTTTCCGTCGTGTGCGCACAACTGCAGACCTCTATTATTTTACTTATATGTTATTAACGGGCTCTATAGTGGCTGCGATAAATGTTATGTTTAGTTTAAATAACCTCAAATTACGGTCATTTTCATAACAAAAAATTTTTTAAGCATTTCCGAGTGGACATCTGAAGTAAATTCTGAGATTGGACAGTGGACCGTACATAATATGACAAACAATCGTACGTTTAAAGGATAAAAATATTCAATTTACATATTTATTTATAATTAGGAAATGGATAAAGATTAAAATAAAGGGAAGATGTAACTATAAAAAAAAATTACTTACGTTTGCTTCTTGTTGCATGACCAGTGTAGTTTGAATTAAAGAAACAAAACTAAATTAAACAAAAGAGTATCCACCTCAGTAACATAACTAAGACAATTACAGTTCTAACTTTATTAACAAGTATAAGGTCATGTCAAAAGTTGCAAATCCCAACGACCCAACGCCCATACCACCGATAGCAGAAAGAAAGTCTCTCAGGCAGAACTTTCTCCTTTTTTTTTGCTTTTTAAAAAAACATTGTCCTTATTTTGGGATAACATTATCCTGTGTTGTAAGGACGTTTTCACAAACATAAATTACTCGCGGACAAACACCCAGATGCGGAACACAAATACTTGTCCCGTGTGGGAATCGAACCCACGACCTCCGACGCCGAAGCCGATACCTTGGCGACTGCGCCACGGAGTCATCAACTACTACGTAAATCACTAGACTATATCATACCAACTACAAATATAACTTTTAATGAATCGGGATAACTCTTAATTAATAAATCACAAACAATCGCAAAGCTAAATTAATAGGTGTATATAAAGGAAATTCGGATGCGCTATATTCGTGAGCTACTCGGATAAACCCGCCAAATGATAATTGCCTATTTCACAGATTAAATAGGCAATTAATAAAACAAAAGCTATTAGCTGTGCTTTCAGTATCAAACAAGAACAAGCGTTATTTTACTTAAATAATTTAAGATTACAAATCAAAAGTAAACTATTTTAGCAAGATTTCTTTGTGATAAGTAGGGAAGCGAGCCGCGGTTTTTTTATGTGAGAAAGTGCCAAACGAACTGTCGGTTCACCTGATGTTAAGTAATAACCGCCGTCCATGGACATTTTAAAAATACCCGTAAGGTTCTAGACGCATTCCCATCTTTTAATAAAGTGGGCCCTGACTACCTCACTCGCCAGACGAAACGCAGAAGTGTAACAATTCTACTTCACGCTAGTCTTCTGTGAGGTCGTGGTACTTACCCGGACAAACCTGCCCATTCGCGCGACAGCGAACACTTTTGTTTGGCCCTACCACAGTTATATGGTTAATCTGGACATCTACGATGTCTCCGCGACGCATTTGCCATGTTTTGGCTTCGGGGATCGTGGGTTCGAATCTGAGTTGTGCTACCCACAGACAGTTGTTTCGCATCTGGGTGTTGTCCATGTGAAATTAACAAAGATCGTATAACACAAACGTCCTTATAACACAGTATACGTTATCCTAAAGCGAGGGCAATTTTTTTTTTATAACAAACAACAAAAAAATCTAGAAAACTGGAAACAGACGCGTTGCCAACTTATTAGAAAGTGGGCTCCGGTTACCTCACCCACCAGAAGAAACAAGAAAATATAATTGACGACCTGATTGGCTTAGTGGGTAGTGAACCCTGCCTTTTGCACCAGCGGGTGTTGGTTCGATCCCCACTACTGGAAAAATAATGCGTGACGAACATAGTATTTTTCCAGTGTCTGGGTGTTGTGTATTTATGATGGTGATTATATATGCCATTGTGTAGCCAGTCTGCCTTTCAGGTAGGAATAGACATTCTTGGAGGCTCCTAAGTCGTATCTATTTACAATGAAGCAATATAAAAAGTAACCCTGAACATAAGAAGTCTTAAATAAAGTTTTATTTAGTAATAATAATTCAACAACATTATGTAAAATCAACTTGAACATTCAGTATACACGCATTAGTGTTTTACGATAGCATGGCCCTCGATTGGGCAATTTCTTTGTCCGGTATAAGTCTAAAAATAGCTCCGTACAGGCCTATCAGGGTGCTTGTGAAATAATGGGATCAGATTTGCGTCACGCAGTGGGACGTATAAAGGATCTTTATTATTATTGTTATTAGATAATGTTTTTGTGCTATAATGAGTGTGTTGAACTTTACAAATTACACCCACACTGTTTGACCTTGGGGCCACTAAAAGTATACTCTAAATTAAAACATTACATTTATTATTTTTATATTGCTATATTTTATCTAATAGAACATGTTTGTAAATTTATAAATGTACCGGAAATGTAGTTCTGATACATTTTAGTACACGATGCAAATATGAGAAGGTTAAAAAGGAATTAATTTTCACCATTTGTGCATTGAGTTTTAAAGTTATATACAAAAATATCTATTTCTTTATAATTACCATATACC